AAAACATCTCTTAGTGCTGACATTGCGCGAAGGCAAACGGGGGTCCTTTCTTGAGGCAGCCAATCAAGTGTCCCCGAGCTTTCTTACATCCTGGTCCTTTTTGTGGGAAAGCCACAAAGCGAGATTGTCCGTAAACCCAGGGGTGCGCTCATTTTTTCTGAGCCTTTCCATCCAGTCGAAGCTTGCGTTTTGCTTTGCCCCACCTAGAAGCCTGCTAGGAGACCAGGTTTCTTTTTGTGTCTTTAGCAGATAGGAAACAAACCACGAGCAGAATGTGCAATGGTCAAGCCTTCTTGTGCAAGTCATGGTCTTGGAAGGGGTGTTGCCCTCCCACGTGCAAATGTTGGACTGAGATAAATCAGTTCTGAATACGGACAAATCCAAACGCCATTCCCAACCATAAGCATGTAGAAGGCAGTCAAAACAGGAAAGTGCCCTGCAAGAGCAAATCAAAATACACCGAATACAGTTTTTCAAGTACAACTGGTCCAGCTGTTCAACAAATGCTGAGCCAGCACTGAAAGAACCTAGTCACCCACCAATGCGAACCCAACCGCTGTACTATCAGCCATCTCCCCTCGGTTCAAAATTATGTTTGCGTTGCCTTGGCCAGTCCAAAGGCCAATCCAATGCATGCGGCCTAACTGGGGCCATGGATGTGGCCCTGGAGGCCCGCCTTTGGCGCCGCCAAACTTCTCGGGCAGCGCGCCCGAATCCAGTGCTGCCTTGAACCGCGCCAGGTTGGCCTTATGGGCGAAAGATCCGCTTTGAGACAATGCTTTTGATGAGGTTCCAATGTTGCCAACACTGCTGACCATACTGAACCCCCTAGTTCAGCATGTCATAAAAGGCCGGCGGCTCTAAGGCTGGTTGGGAGGGACACATTTTGGGAGGTGAATTCGATGATTGATTCTTGGAGTTCGCACAGCTTGCTTCACAAGGCTTCCACTAGAAATCAGAAAGGGGCAAAACCAAGCTTCACTCTTTCACTCCTTTGCATCTCTGCTGCATGACACAAATGCCAGGCCGCCTCTCGAGCTTTCTGGTGGTCTACGATGGGCTTCGGATAATCCTGCGGGTCAAATGCTGTGGTTCGGTGTGTGTGTGCATGTGGGAGAGGGAACGGGAGAGAGGAAGGGAGGGAGAGAGAGAGAGAGAGAGAGAGACAGAATTTACAGAGAGACAAAGAGACAGAGATACAGAGAGAGAGAGAGAGAGAGACCACGGGAGTCAGGTGTTTCGCCGCCTGCACGCGAACAAAGTCATTGCACTGCTCTTCTGTTGAAGAGCGTGGAGCTGATGCAAACTGATCATGCATCAACCACATTCAGCACTCTACGCTACGACTTGTTCTGGTAGCTACATGGCACGATGAACAATAAGGCAACTTTCCGGCCGCCTGGCGGGGGCGAACCAAAGGCAAAGGCTGAACCGTTGGAAGGAACCAAGCACAACCCCCCTGACCAATTATTGTAAAGCCTGGAATCTGTTCCCAAACCAGTGGGAACAGCTACAGTGCAGCCGCCACGCAGAGTTCATGGTGAATTTGCTTGAGCTTCTGAGTCAAGTGGAGTCCAGTTTTCCAGTCGTATATGTTTCTCCAGCAGCAGCGCTCCTGCCCAATGATGCAGCCAGCCTTCTTCTGCTCTGCCAGTGGCGCTGTCCAAGGCTTGTCTTGGGTGCGACTGTGTCAAGCTAAGGGGACACATGCAAGTGTCGCTAGAATGACCTGTGCCTTCCATATGCCCTGCGTACTTCCATTCTTCTCTTCCTCTCTCTCACTCTCTTTCATTCTGTCTGAGCTAGTCTGGAGTGAGGGCCCCAAACGCTTGGTTGAGTCTCTGCCCCTTCTGGACTGGACAAGGACTTTCTGATTGCTCACATGGGACTTCACTGCAAACCGCAGCCCAGCGACAAATATACTTTGCTGACATATCCTTCAGCTCCGGCACCTGCGCTGGCCCCTGCCAAAAAAGGGGCAGGAATGGAAAAGAACACATTTGAACAAACAACACGTCAAGCGACTTGACTTAGCGAACAAATGCAATTTGGAAGGCTGTGATAGGGTCGTCTGATAGTCGTTGATTGCGGGAAAAGGGCGGGGACCGCCTGAAAGAGCGCCAGAGCTGTCAGACATAGGGGCACCCATTTGAGAAGAATGACTGTGGCGCTGGAATCATGCATCGTAAGGCGGGGTGCCGTTCATAGGGGGAGCGGTTGCGTGTCAAATAGAAACCACATGATTTTTGCTCTGCCGGCAAGTCGGGTGGGGTGAGCCTGCACAATCAAAACACGTATTCCCTTCTAAATCCGCAAGCAAAGAGAATCTTGGCGAGGGCAAAGTGGAACATGTCATCGTCAACGCTGCTGCCAGTGGGGCATGATACATCTTTCAGCCCTGGAGGAAGTCAACAACCGTTGACTGCCCCATGGAATATGGAAAGCAAAAGCGCGGGCTGCACTGGTCCATCCACCGGTTTGCGTCACTGGCTCAGGACAATGACCCGTGAGCTGCTGAATTTACTGGCAAAAAAAAGGTTGAACTTTCGGGCAATTGAACCATTCTTCTGTTTACACCATACTGGGTTTTGATCTGCCAACTCAACAGGAAAAAGGCCCGTCTTGAGATGTCTTGAGGTCGGCACATAGTGCTTCACGAACTCTCCTGTCTGCTCAGCGTTCAGGCTGGACTTCGGCCCTGGGCAAGGATCCTCAATTGCAGGTCCGGTTTCGCCACTCCCAATGCCTCCCACGATCAGCTTGATCCTGAAAGTTCGTACAGGAGGACTAATGCAGCGCTGCATGTTTGCGCGCAATCTGCAAGTAACATGGTTGTTAGCCAATGGCTTTCCAACCAACATGCGAATGGAACATATCTGAAGCTTGCATGAAACGGCAGTAATCCTAGCTGGGTGTGGTGTCTTAGCCGTCAATCTCTTCAAATGAGTCTGGCCCTTCCAAATGGCATCTTCCTTTCAAGTTTGTATTCGCCATCTTTTGAAGCAAACCATCTCGGGGACTTCCATCGAAATCCGAGCAACGTAGATGCGGAAGTAGGGCGCGGAGAAAGGCGCGACACCTGGGGCATGGCCAGGGCCGGGTTCAAACCCAAATGCTGGTCAACCAGAAGAACAACCTTCGTGCGGTGCCGGGTTTCACGTGGTTTCACCCGCAAGTGGCCCAGCACTCCCTACAAGCACTCCCTACAAAGCCAAAGCAACTGTCCCACTTATCTGCGCAGAAGAGTCAGCATCAAATCAAACGCCGCTTTCTTTCGCTAGCTGCTTCGCCTTTCCCACCCAAACCAATAAGCTGAAAAGGCGCCTGCCAGCCACAGCCAATTGCCTCAGTGCGCGCCGCTGCAGGCAATGCAACATGGCCGCCTAAAAGCAAGGTTAATATTTGCACAATGCGAACGCTGGTGCAGGATTTCTACGCACATGTTGCTGAAAAGGCGGTCTCCTACAAAGCTGCAGGAATCAAGTTTGGCAAACAAATCAGCCGACCAGGTTGCAGGGTGAGAGTAGATGGCACAATGCCCCTTCATGTGGGAAAGTAAAAGGGATGACTAAACCCAAATTTGAAAACTGTGGCATCTGCTTTCAGCCAACTGTACGGTTCTTCAGGTCATCCGAGCAAATTGTAGACACTACTTCCGACCGTGGGCGGTCAAGGTTCCAGCAAGGCCACATACCGGTGATGAAACGGGTGAACTCCCATGACCCCATGACCCCATGACCAAAGAACAACGACATGTCACACATATCCCGAGAACAGACGGCCACCGTGGCCACCCAAGCAGAACCAAAACGAGCTAACACGATATCTGGTCATCTCTATGTGCAGTGACGAGCATGCGCAACCTTGACTTCACAGACAAGCTGTGCTGGACACCATTCCCCGGCAAAGCGAGTGGTGCGGCATGTGCCGTTTCGTGCAGGGCTGAATTTTAGCTGAACTTTCCCAACACGGCTCAGCTCAGCACTTGCCCGACCAGCATTGGGCTCAAGTGCCTCTCGTCGCGCTCATGGAGATTGTGTTGTCACCAAGCTGCCATTGTTCACAGCCCAGTCTGAGTCCAGAAGCAGCTTGTCAAACACATCGCGCCCAGCCGTCCAATTCTGCCAAAGGTCCCCTGGCACAGAACATCTCTTCAGCTGCAAACCCCTACACACAAATTGAATGGCGCAACCCTCGAACTTCATGGACTTCTGCTCTCTGCGGGGCCAATTATCCATGACAATGGTGAACCTCCAAGCAACGACGCCTCCCCCAGCGATGTATCCTTCTATCGCCCTACATTTGCAACTTGTTAGCCTTCAGCTTCAGAAAACGTGTCCTTATTACCGCTGGTGATGCGGGGGGTGTCGATCACTTTAACTAAAAAAACAAAAACAGTCCACAGCAGACCGCATCATGTCGGGCCTCGAAGAGTGCTAATGAACTTCAGGTGATGCCGGGGGTGTCGGCCACTTTAGTCAGCAAACACCAGCAAAAACATGAGGAGTCACGCCAAGCTCGGAAAAGTACAATTGTGTAAGTCGTTTTCTTGGTTGCTCTTGACCCCCCTGCAAAAAGTTCAACTTGTTGGGGGTTTAGTGTTAGTGGAAAACACCTTTACTTCCCAAAAAGCTAAAGTCTAAAGATCCAACCCAATAGCAGTCAAGTTTTGCAAGCAAAGTCCATGCAGGCGAAACATGATTATAGTGGATGCGTTGACAATTATAGTCTTTTTTTTGATCGTGATGCCCTGGGTGTTGACCAGTTTTGGGGGGGTGCTTGCGCAGAAAGAGAGAGAGAGAGAGAGAGAGAGAAACAGAGAGAGAAAGAAAGAGAGAGTTAGCAACATTTCTTTCAGAGGCATATGCGCATGCATCTGGCACCTGACTGACCCAATGAAAATACCACAGCCCACCGGCTGAAATACATTTCCTTGTTGAAACTGCCCCTGCCCACACGCCTCGCGTCAGGAAGCAAGCCACCGCGTGGCGCCCCAAATGATGCATGAAGCCTGCGGAGAGGCCGTGTCCGCGTCGCCAGCTGACGGAATGCCGATTTGCGCTAGTGGCACCCGTAAACCTATCAGCTACACTTCAATCAGGTTTGCCCTGTGCCCGCCCCAAAGGTGGTGGGCACCGCATGTCCAACCTGGCAGAGGAAGTGAAGCACTACGCTATCATGGTAAGCGTATGTGCGGCCGCTGACAGTGCCCAACATACGCTTGTTGCGCCTTCACCGGGCCTTTCTGATGTGTGTCTCTTCGTGCCTTTGCTCCTGCAACTGGATGAGCAGCCTACAAACATTTACTTGCGTTGGAATGCTGCCTATCACCAAGTCTTCAAGCTGCATACATGCAGAATTCTCTGAATGATGCAAATCAACCTGCTAGAACACATGGCATGATACAAGCTCTTCATTGTACGACCATCATCCTTCCAAAGCTACTCTTATGGACAGCATGTGAGTGGACAGGGGGGATCCATTCTGAGATGTCCCTCTTCCAGCCACCAACGGCATGCTGCATTCGGCGGGTGGCCTGTTTGATTCAGCTGCCGCATCAAGGCGTCGATGAAGGGATATCCCGTGCGGCCCTCCTGCGAGCGAAACCAAACATGTGCTAGGCGAGGCGCACTCATTGCTTCCGTCTGTGTAAGGGAGTCTCACAAGCGGATTGGCCCTGCAAACACATGCTGAGAGATGGACTGGTAAGCAACATGTCAATCCTCATTTCATACATGTCATGCCATGTCAGCAACTGGTTGGTCAATGGTCAATTGTTGGTCACGGCAAAGCGCACACGCTCCAACTGCACGGAAGACCCAAAGGCCCGCCCACCGTCGACAAAAGCGGTTGCCACTGAGTTGAAGGTCTTTGTGGGTTGATGCTTTCATACGCTTTTTACTGTGCGACCAACTCGAGGAGGCAATGTGGCTGGCATAAGTTGGCGTGGCCGTGTGCATTGAGCTCCGCCCAAACCCCCTTGAAAATCCATCACCCGGAAAGAAGGGCTTGAATCTTTGGCCTGCGGCTCCTGCCAGGCTGCCAGGAGTTCTGGGTCGTTGCCCCATGGGATGACTTTGCACATCGAGTTCCTCAGCCCGCTGAAGAACTCCGGGCCGATGCCCGCTTCGATTTCTCTGCACACTACCAGCCTTCAGCTCTCATTGGCAGGCAAACGTGCTAAGCCTTGGGCAATAAAACCTGAAAGCAGCATTCACGGATGAGCCTGCTTGCCTCTTGCGGCTTGAGCTATGGTCCATGGCTCTGGCATCCAAGGCGCTGCTGGTCTTGGTCGAAGTTGGGGACAGCGGCCCCTAAGAGGTAGAACATCTCCCGGAAAAGGATCCTGATGCCACCATGTGTGATCAGAAAAAGAGGTATGCGTGTGTCCGTGTGTCTGTGTGTGTATGTCTCTGTGTATGTCTCTGTGTGTGTCTGTGCCTGTGTGTCTGTGCCTGTGTGTCTGTGCCTGTGTGTGTGTGTGTCTCTGTGCGTCTGGCTTGCGTGCGCATGTGCATGTGCATGTGCAAATGTAAATCGCCGTTGCGTCTCTCTAACACTCCGAAGCTAGTTGGCCGCTGGCAGCCTTCACCCTACACCTGGCCAGTGTGGTGGAAGCAAGCGGGTGCGTTCTTACAATTTAAGCCACACCGCTTGCAAATAGCGCCAAGGCGCTGGCCGTGCAAGGACTGGGGCGGCTGAGAGTGACTCCTGCCCCGCATGCACTGGTCGAAGGCATGCCAGGCGCTGCGCACCGAGAGGCAGCCGAACTTGAGGTATGGAGACAGGCCTTCGGCAGTCGGCTGTTTCTCCTGTTTCTTAGTGTGCTTGAATTTCCTTGGGCAGCACCCGAGGGAAATCACACCAAACAAATCAACACAGCAAAGTTGCAGTCGGAAGGCGACTTGCTAGTAGGTGTAACCCCGTGGTGGTGGTGCGATGATGAATCTAGAAAGAAAAAAAAACACCCCGCGATCACCCATTTCCTAAGAAGGAACCCGTGGCCTTGCCGAAAATTCAAAAAAACGGTCAGCATTGAAAGCAAACTACCACTGTGGAGAAGTTGAAACATGTTGAGACCAGTTTCAAATTAACTATCAAAACAAAAACCAACCGTCACTTACAATCATGCACATCTCGCACAACCATGTTCACATAAAACACGCGGCTATAGTAATGCCCCGTTACAAACCCATATTGCCAAACAGTGCTCTCTCAAGACTCAAGCACTTGGAACCACCTTGTTTGCAGCACGTCAACAAGGAAGAAGCACGCTGCACGTGCAATCCCAAAAGGGAATGGACCGCGGACTGGAACACAATGAGGACCCTCCTGAACATCATTGGATCGACCAAATCCCAGCATGCAAGGTCGGGAAAACTTTATTTTTTGTCCAAACGACCTCTGGTCAACAGACCCTGGTCCTGAAAATTGGAAGCCACAAGGCTGCTGAAACAATTGTTGGGTCAGGTTTGGTGATTCAAGCCCTGGCTTAAACCATTGTTTAAGCCAGGGATAGCCAGGGCTTGAATCACCAAACCTCCCGGCCGACGGGCCTGTGGTGGACGGCTCCCAGGGGCTCTTCGGGCGTCCGGTGGAGGCCGTCTTGGGCTTCTCGAAGCGGCACACCTTGAAACGCAGTGGCCATGTGTCGAAACAGGGGTTGGACTCCCCACGTAATACGGTGGGTCGTCTTTTTGGCTTCCCTTTAAACCAGGGTAAAAAGCGGTATCCTCAAAAAACACATGCCTCCAGCAAGTTTACAAGGGAAATACATGTTTATTTTATTTTTTTGGAAATCTGGTTGCTTGGGTTGAGATGGGTGGTTGGAAGCCAACTTTGGACTTTGGACCATTCAGCAAAAGATTCTTACTGGCCGGGCCATGACAGGACGAGGCAAGCTGGGCTGGGCTTTGGATGGCCTCGAACCAAAGAGAACACCCTTCCAGCCCTGAACAGAAGCAGCCTAACACTTCTGCCCAGTAGAAGAAGGTTCCATCCCAACAATGCCATTCTTGTTGCGCTTCGGTGGCAAAAAGCGTTGTCAAAACGCGGTGGACTTGAACAAACACCTGTTTCTCACCTGGCAGCATTCTGCGCGGATTGTGTGTTCATGTGCCCCGTTTGTCTCTATTCATGTTCGTCCCAGAGGACTCCTCCCAAGACAACGGGAGTCATATGAGCGAGGATATTTGCTCGGGCTTCCGCGTGGGCATCCGCAGGCTTCCGCACAAACAAAAACTTCTTGCAACAACATGTCTGCTCTACATTTCCCTCAATGACACCTTCTTGCACGCACCCCGCCTCCGCAAACAAGGCCCCTCCAAAACGAATGCTTCTGCTCTGCGGAAAACAATTAATGCACATGCGGAGCACTGCACTTATCAAAGCTCGACATCAAACCATGTGCTAAACTGTAGCAGCGAGCTTCCGCCGCACTTCCAAGCAACAAGCAACACACAAACAAACAAAGGGACACCGATACTGAAAAAACACATGGTTTTGACAGCTGTTGAATGTTGAAGTCAAGTAAGGGTCGATGCTGTCTGGTTTAAGCCGTGTCAGTTGCGGCTTGGAACTCACATCCTATCCCCAAAAACATCCTAGCCTTAGCAACACATTATCCTCAAATCTGGTTGCACATCTACATCTTGGACGAATGCAAGCAGCTTCCAGGAAATCTATTGGATCGTAGCAGGCGAGAGCTTGGCTGCGGGTGTGCCTGCAAAACCGTCACACCTGCTCGATCCGTTAAGCTATTCCCTGCTGAAAACAAAGGCAGCCCCTTGAAACACTCCCACCACACCAGTTTTTTGGTGCTCGTGCCGAAGTGCGTAGTCCACATCCGCGCAGACTTGAGCCAGTCTCCTCAAGGCTTCCTGCTCACCACCTGCACCGCATCAACCAGCCGAGCAAAGCACTGTCAGAAGCAAAGGCGTGCTGGAGAACAAACTGGCAGCACCAATGCGTTTGCAATCTAAAACAAGTTGCAACGCTCTGGATACATGCCGTGTTTGCGACAAAGCTGCTCCAAGGAACGTGCTTCAAACGCTACATGATTCTGTCCTCCCTCTCGTTCTCATTGTCTTTCTTTCTTCATTTCTCTGTGGTGTTCTTTTTGGAATGTGCAGCTCAGCTCTCCTGGCACTCCTGGACAACGCAATCTCAATCTGGCCAAGGATGTCCCTTGCAGGCTGGTTCCAAATTTCCCTTCGTCACTGTGTCATTCCCTTCCTGCAGGCAGGAGTATACAGCATGGACATGAAAGTGCCATCCCGCAAACATGACACCTGTGGCAGGAACCTGTCAGGGTCCAGGGACAGAGGGTACTTCCTGGAGCTTGCACGTCAGGGCATCTAGTTGCCAACTCATTGGGGAAAAAAGGAATCCCTGTTTGGTTCAAGTGGGGAACCAATTCATTCCTATGGTGTATGACTCAACACGAACGCACAGCTCTCTCGCACTTCTTTTATAGCGGGTGCAATCCTTTGTCATGGTCAACCTCGAACTCCGAGGATTTGCCTTGGTATGCTCTAGTGAGCTAAGGTAGGGCACTGAGTGGGCCCCACTCAGGCCCTCTGTCAGCTTCCCCACTGCCATCCCGGCGTGTGTGGCTGACAGGGTAAACACCCCCCCCTCCGATCAGCCATCCGACGCCTCCCGGCATACTGGCTGGCAGGAGACAAGATAAAGGGGGGGTAGCCTGGACAACCATCGCACAACCTCCCGGTGTGGGTTGCCAGGCTACGTCCCGACCATCGGGAACCCTACCTCCGCGTCCCCTCTGTGACGCAAACCCAGCCCCAGCGGGGCCTCCAAGACAGGGGTTACTGGACGCCAGGCCACCTGTCAAGGGTGGGTTAATTGAAAAAGACAGGGTGGGAGAAGAAAATACAATTAGCCAGTTTGGTTCAAGGCACTTGAGCCAAAATGGTAATTGTATATCACCATGAGGAATGATCAGTGTCTACCCAAGCCTACCAAACTCGAGACACAACCGCATTCCTATGGCGTATGACTCAACACGAACGCACAGCTCTCTCGCACTTCTTTTATAGCGGGTGCAATCCTTTGTCATGGCCAACCTCGAACTCCGAGGATTTGCCTTGGTATGCTCTAGTGAGCTAAGGTAGGGCACTGAGTGGGCCCCACTCAGGCCCCCTGTCAGCTTCCCCACTGCCATCCCGGCGTGTATGGCTGACAGGGTAAACACCCCAATGCACTCCACTACCTAATCCCAACGCACTCAAAGGAAATGCACAACCGAGATCAATGCTGGCAACGGGAGATGCCAAATGATCAGCGGCAGAGCGGTCGACTGTGTTGAGAAACCTCTGGAACGGTGCCAAGGGTCACGGGCACCTTCCCGGCTGATCGCGTCAGCCCAATTTGACTTCGATGGAATGTATTCCCAGTAAATCCAAGTTGCAAGGAGAACAAAATCACATGGATCAGATGTCCGGCTGTGCCGACCGCCCACGCACCAAGCACATCAACGCGGCAGTGTTATCGATGAACCACACCCCCCTGCGATGGCGGAACTTGCCAGGCCGAGCCATCAAGGCGAACAGGACCATGGAAAGCTCCAACTGGGAGAGAGCCTCAGACATGTCATGGTCCAACCCAAGGAAAACGCCTTGCGCCATGGCCTGGCGCTTCTTATCAGCAAACAGGGTTCCCAAAAGGACGTTCAGTTGCTCAAAGGCCCACTGCCCAGACCCCTTTGCTGAACGCCAGTCTGTCAAGCTCGCGTCGTCAAAATACATTGACCAGCACAAAGACCAGCCTGCGCCCAAGGGACTCCACCAACCTGGAATACCGGTTGAAACTGGTGCCCAAACAGGAGACCCGCATAGAGCTGGTAGGCTGGTTCTGCCCACAAATGGTGCCAGAAGACTACTACGCAGCCCAAGCACTCCTGTGGCGACATCGGCGAATGCCGATAGGCATCAGGCCAGTCCCCCCCCCCAGACTCCCAGGAATCAGCCGCAGCCGCCTCCCGGAGGTCGTTCGGGGTCATCTGTGCCACCACTGCTCGGATGTGCTGCGCAGGGCGCAGGGGCGTGCACAGAACCAATTTGTTAGCATCAGATGACAACTCACTTTGTCGTTGTCAATTATACGTTGCTTGCCAAACCCTGTGTGATAACACACCTGGGTATTAAACGCGGGCTCCCAGCTGTTGGCGCAGATCTTGGCCACTTTGCGGGCAGGCAAGGACGATGTCTTTCTCCTATCTCAGTCCACCCTGGATGCGGAGCGAGGCTTCTGCACCTACCCGATGCGGCGCACCAACCCGTACGGATAGGACACATCCGGCCACGAACTCAGGATGATCAGAAGAGCCGTGAAACCCACGTCCCGCTGGGCCGTCACTCTGCGGATTGCTGCCGGCTGCCGCCTCCCACCGCTTGCCGCCGAAGGTCGATCATCTGACCTCGCCAGCGGGCACAACAGGCAGCTGCACGATCCTGTCGCCGGTGCCAGGCGTGGTCCAAGTGCTCATCCGGGGTAGGCTCACCCGCCTGAAGTGGCGGGAGCGCGGCCTTGTGGCTCAGGGCTCCAGCTTGCCGGCCCGTTGCGGTAATCTGTCGAAAACGCGCTGTGCGAGTGGCAAGCACCGGCCCCATCGGACCATCAACATCAAGCTCCTGGTCCTCGCACCACTCGGTAAAGGCAGAGAAGGGGAACGAATTGACGAGGTCCTCAATCATCGGAAAAGTGGTGCGCTGAAGCCACTCATGGGGAAACAGTCGGACTCCTGAGAATGCTTTTGCAAGTTGCGTGGAAGCGCCTGGGCACCTGGGATCCCCCCCCAGGCTGCCAAAGCGGCTCTCCTGGGACGCCTACAGCGCACAGAGCCAGAACCGCGCCCGGCTCACCGCTCTGCAACCGCCGTTCGAAGAGAAGGCCGATCAGGACGTCCGCCTTGCATGGGACCTCCATGGGGCAGTCGCACACCAATCCCCTCCAGCTCCTCCAACTGATCGAAGACGCCGGACTGGTGGATGTGGGCCACATAATGAGGCAACACCAATCGTCTCCTCCACAGTGCATACCTGGGATCTTGTTGGCCGCCCATTTTGAACATGCTAGAGGGTGGCTATGGTGACCCATGCCCACATAGATGTGCGCGTCTGGCAAAAGCTTCCCTTCGCCCAGAACTGCCTGAGCCTGCGCCCGCACAGGTAGCCCCTGCGCCTGGGCACCCCGCAAGCGAAGCCCCAGGGACAGGGCGACCGGTGCCATAGCCCACTCACGCATGGCCCGCGGGTCCAACAGCCAGTCCTCCCTGCGACCCACACACTCGACCGCGGGCATCCGGGGGACTCGCAGCACTGCTCTGCCCGTTCGCACCGCCCACCATGAAGCAGCGACCGCCAAAGCGAAGCGCAACGGGGCCGTATACTCAGCCTCCTCCTTGCTCGGGTAGAAGCGGCCGGTAGCGCGCTCCACAGGCTCCCACTCCTTGGGATCATGAGAATGATGGCAAGCCTTGGGAGGCCAGGCGTCGATCTCGTCCAGGTTGCGGCGCCCAGTCTAGGCGGGTTCTCGCGAATAGATGCTCCCCGCACCTCCAGCTGCTCGATTTCCTCCAAAACCCATGCACAGGCCTGGTTGTCGACAGAGACTCGATTCAAGTCCCTGCCCCAGGCCTGGTTGGCCCTCCGGGTGCTGCTCCGAGCGAAGTGGTTGTGGTGCAGGACGCCCATCGTCGAACTTCCGCGGGATCTCCCGTGCACGTGACTTAGTAGAGCAATCAATGGCCGCTGCAATGAAATCGACCTCCAACAGCTGCTCGTGCAGCAGCTCCTGCCGCCGAGGGTCGGCCAGGTCGTGGGTGGCATCCAGCAGCCAATCAACCGGTAGGCATCGCCAACCGCAATGAAGGAAAGCTTTGGTTCAGCGGTACCCGCGGGCCGGCCAATCGGCCAGGAACCGGCTGCGGCAATTCATCCGCTTCCGACCCTGACCTCCCCGTCGGGGCCCTGTCAGGTGGACTTGCGGGTCTTGCCCCCCGTGCAGTCCTTGGCCGCGTGCCCCAGCCCGCAAACCCGGTCTCCCAGGATCACGACTCCGCAGCGTTGCACACCCTGCATGCACTTGCCTTTGGCGCCGCACTTGCCGTGCTGGAAGGCCTGGCAGATCTGCGTCCCGTCGCGCATGGTCCGGGCCACCGGGCGACCGCCAATAGGTTTGCCCTGAGTAAGGAGGTTGGTACCTGCAGCAACCTTGGATGCAGATGCCGGTGCCGCCTGAGTCGTAGCAGTCTGCGGCTCCTGAACCCCCACCGCCCAATGGGCGTCTCGGGCAGCGTAGACCTCCTTGATCCACTCCGAGGGACGCCGTCGATTCGCGGAACCGAGTTACCCACTCAGACCGTTCGTCAACATCCTTGGCCTGCAACCATTGCAAGCGCCGAGCCGGCGGCAGAGCCCCTGCCGTCCGCTTAGCGCGGTAGTATAGTACTGCGTCGCCACATCCAGCGGGACTTGGACCAATTGAGTGGAGTCCGCCCCCAGCGTCTTCTCCAACTGGATGTCCGGGCTGCCCTGCGTCGCCGCGGTACCCGCCATCGAGTAGGCCACCATGAGCGTATGGAGCTTGTCGAGATAGCCCTCCCAGTCCTGGAAGATAGGCTCCTCCTCATTGGTCTCTTGGTCTCCTCGGTGTACAGGCCCTCAGCCAGCTTCCGCCTGCGCTGCACCGTGGTGAGTTGAAACTGAAGAGAGCGGACCTTCCACACATTGAACACACACAGCATGCGTTTGGCAATTCCCCTGCTGACTCTTGAAACCGTCGAATCGGATGGATGCACCTCGGGGGGGAACCGCAACCGGTAACGTCTCCAGAAAGCCACCTTGGTTTCACGAAGCTCTCCGTCCGCCAAGAGTGCGTCCAAATCCTCGACGCTCACTCTGGAACGATCCTGTTCCGATTGGCGATAGTACAGGCTCACCGCATTCCAGGCCCTCCGCAGCCTTGCGGTCTGTACCATGGATTCATCCCCCAGCCCCAACTTACCCAAACCTGGATTTGCTCCTCGCTGTTAAACAGGAACCGAAACTCCTCCAGGTTTTGAATCTTACTCTTCAGGAGGGCCTGAACAATCCCCTCATCCAGGGTGAAGTTCAGCGCCAGCGCTTCCAGCGTGGCTTGAATGGTACCTCCTTCCCTCGGCACCAATGGCAAACTCGCCATGATCCGGCCCAGGGTCCCACCCTGGCCAGCCTGCTCGCCGCGTCACCCGCGGCCTGCCGACCAGAGGACAGTTCGGTGAGAACAGAGAATCTGTCAAGCCTAGCACACTCTCTCTTGACTGTGGGGCAAGGCATCCGAAACATGAAGGCATGTGCAAATCACTCAGACGCTTTTCACATCCTGACAATCCACTACAATGAGCCCGGCGGCGAACACCCTACTATATGAAACTCGGGCCTAGGCAGCTACACAAAAGTATCTTCAGGGCCGAGATGCAGGGCATTACGCAGAAATTTCTATGAGCTCAGCTGTTATCATCGGGCATCCGGTTTGCAGGCCCGAATTAATGACTGGCAGCTCAGATTTTCTGCCAGCTGGCCGGGGCACGGGCCATGCACTGCTGGCACATCATGCGGCCCACCGCCAACGCCTCGAAGATGCTGCCAAAGAGGAGCGCTCCGTGCAAGCGAGCCTCTGCATTAGGCGCACTCACCTGCCACTCGCAAATGCCTCGCCGTAGTGAGGTAACCCACCGGCAACGGCCAAGGGGTTGGGAGCCGGGCCGACCGCCGAGCAGCATAGAGCCAATCCGCGGCCCGCCAATCGCGGACAAAGGCCTGAAAGTCGATGTGCCTCAGCCTGCTGATCCGCTGCGCTGACTCCTCCAAGGAGATGTTCTCGAACAAGGCTCGCGCCAGCACCGCCAACGCGGCAGCGCGATGGCGACCCGCCATGCAGTGCAGCAGCACCTCATCTCCCCCATAGAGACTCTGAACGATGGTGGGCCAGTGAGTACGCCAAGCTCCATCCCGGTCCCCCCGGGAGGTGATCGGCATCTGCACCTGGATCACGCCGGGCAGCACCAAGCCTCCTCGTTCCTGCGGCTTCTGCTTGAAAGCCGTCACCTGCAAGGCCACCGCCGGGAAGTCGCCCAGGTTGTCCAGAGCTTGCCCCCGGATCGCAAGGACAGCACCAGCGTGGGTGGTGCGCGAGGTCATCGAAGTGCTCATCCTCCCCCGCCGAACAGGTGGCGCCCGGGAGGCTGAAGACGGCTCCTGCTGCCGGGCCCGCTTGCGCGTAGGCAGCTCCTCGCTCTTGTCCACCAACTTGGCCGCCTGCTGCTTGGGCCCGCGCGCCGCCTCCACCACAGGCAGTGCCGGGGGTGCTGCATGCTTGCCCTCCGCAACCAAAGAGGCCAGGACCACCCGCTTGGCTTTGCAGTCCTGCCCATGATGGCGCCCGCCACAGACTCGGCCCGTCTGGAGGACAGCAGCGCACAGATGCGCCCGACCGCACTCCTCCTCGCCTTCTTTGCATGCGTCCAACTGGAAGGGGCCGCAAAGTTGACCGACATCATGATGCCATTGATGGGGTCCGGCATGTCCTGGGTCACGGACGGTTCCGCCTTGCGCTTAGCCGCGGCCATCTTGGCCTCAATGGAGACCCGCAGCCGAGGTCGGAGCTCCTCCATGTTAGGGGGGGCCGCCCAGATGATCACCTCATCCCGAGCTTGGGCTCGCCCCGCAAAGACCTCCCGGCCTTCTTGGACGGCTCCCGCTGCACCGTTGGGATACCCTCCCAACTAGTGAAATCCTGCAACGTCTTGAGCGCCCCTAAGGCTACGAACTTCTGCTTGAAACTCAGCAAGTAGCGAGCACCGGAGTAGTGCATGGGCATGCGAGACTCCTCGCCCAACTGGCTGCGGTCCTGCCAGTCACCAAGGGCACAAAGCTCCGTGCCGGAGAACTTGAGAAGGGAACCAAGCGTTGGTGCCACCCTGCGATAGGAGTAGGTGCTCAGGGCATCGGCGTCCTCCAAGTACGAGTTGAACTCAGCCCGCAAAACCAGGTTCACCTCAGACAACGCCCATGGCCGTCCGTCCCGTGCGAAGCAAAGGTTCGAGGTTCGTTGGGTCGCCCGTGGAAGAGCCTTCCATGCCTCGAGGAACACCTCGGCCCAGGGGAAGCCGCTGAGGAAAGTGCTCGGGATCATGAAGCTGAACCCTTGGCGGAGCTTCTTCTGCTTCCCCTTGGGACAGTGGGCGTTCAGGGCACTCTGCGTAATCTTGCGTGGCTCGGCCATCGTCACATGCTTGTAGCGGAGCACCCCTGACATGACCAACCAGCCACCCAGAAGCGCGGACCAGCGTTCCTCGCCAGCCTTGTGAACATCTGGACGATCCGCCGCTCCAGGTGATTGACCATACTGGGCTCCATCACCGCCGCCTGGCCACGCTTGTGAGGCCGAGATGCCACTCGTCGGGGCAACTGGATCATCTGCAAGTCCATGTTGACCTTGGCCTGGTTGAAGATCCAGCGCAAACTCGCCAACGAGCGGGCCGGTGCGGGCGTGGCCTCAGTGATGAACACCTCCAGGTCCAACAGCTCCGGTGGGAAGGACCGCCCTCGCTGCTGAAGGAAGCCCTCGAGCTCCGCCCAGGTCCGCAAAGCATTCTGGACGGTCACCTTCTCTCAACCGCACCGCCTGCTCCGCCACAACCTCTGGCAGCGGCTCCCAAGGAGTGAGCCTCACCCCCCGCCTTCGCAGGGCAGAAGCCGCCACGGATGATGAGGGACGCACCGAGCCCCGAGCCGCATCCGGCACGTAGGACTCCTCCTGTGCCGCTCGAGCTGCCAGCGATCAGCCAGGCCGACACCACCTTGGAGTTCGCCTGCTCGTAGGTGCTGAAGGCAAAGGCGAAGTCCTTGTCGTCCAGCAGCCCGCGCTCGCGTCTCCACTCCCGGACACGTGCAGCCGAGGCTTTGTCCAAAGCGCTCTCCGGTGTCCAGGAAGTGTCCCCCTCCATGGCCATCCGGGCATAGATCCCGTGCTCCTGCGCCATGGCGCTAGCTGCTGCCAAGCCCAAAATTGCTGCTGCATACTGAGCGGCCGTTGCGAGTGGCAAACGTAGGGAAATGGCAAAGGACACACAGTGGTGGGAAAAATTCAACGCCACCTGCGAGGCCACCCAGCCAGTGCCAGAGCGCTCGCCCGGCCCCCACTGCCCCGCCAACGGGGAGTCCCAGGACCGGTTCATATGCTGGTTCCCTCCAGCAGGGCCGCCCCAACTGCCACCGGCGCCAAGCCGCGAAAATCGCTCCGCGGCTGAGTCCGCCCTGAGGGGAGGCATCCACCCAGTGAAGCAACCACTCCCGCATCCTCCCGGCGCCAGCAGCAGGAGATCCAACTTCTCCAGGATAGCATGGTAGCCACTCGACACTTCGGCCGGTGACGCTCCAGGCTGGGCCAGAACACTGCGGCGGGTCCAAATCTCGAGCCACGGGAAACGGAAACCCCCCCTACCTTGCTCACATCGTGGGCATGAGGAAATAGTGCAAGGGCATTCCTCCAAGGGGGGTAACCCGTCAACAACAAACTCCGCATTCGGGATGTGTGGTTCGTGAATGAAAACCACCACGGACTCCCACAGTGCCAGAGCCCCCGCCCGGTCCCCCCCGGGCGAGCAGGCCTTCAACATGCGCCCTGAAATCCAGCAAGGCCCCCGCGGAAAGAAGGGCCTCATCGCAATGCACCGCCACATCAACACCCTGACGTGCGTACTGCATGGGGCGCACGAAGAAGAAAATACACTTAGCCAGTTTGGTTCAAGGCACTTGAGCCAAAATGGTAATTGTATAACACCATGAGGAATGATCAGTGTCTACCCAAGCCTACCAAACTCGAGACACAACCAGAAACACAATGAACCAGGGAGTGCCGGGGGGCTGCTGCGAGCCGCGACTGAATTACTCAGAGTACCTGCAAGCTTTGGGGCAACCCCTCGCCCACATCACGGTTGCCTGGGAAGCCCTGACTGGATGGCTCCACAGCGTAGATCTCCCCAATCGACGGCACCTGGAAGCCTGACAGCTTGCACCGATGTGACGTGGGGATGTGTCCAGGGTTTTGGGATCCAATGAACCCCCTATCGAACAAAGGCTGGAGATGCTGAACATCACCTTGACACTAGCTGATTGAAAGGATCTCCTTTCAAGCGTGCGAGGCGGTATCCTTGGGAGCGCGGACTCATGGGGCCACTACTTGAATGCTCGGCTGCATCTCAGGCTTGTGGAAAGTCTGTTTGTTGCTTGCTATACTTGTTTTGAAATGAAGCATGAAGGAAACTGAGCATTTGCTGAAGCCCCGTGCCTTCTAGTGTGCCAAGTTTTATTAGCGTTGCGCCATTTCTTCCAAGAAACCCACAGAAGTGCATACAAACAATGAGTGCCGTTGTTGTTCTAAGACTAAACCACCTGGCCGCAAGCGCGGCAGTGCAATCAAGTCGGTACCAATTCAAATGCAGCTTCATGCGCTTCAAGGCTTGGAACTCATACTTGTGCAATTGTCAGGCCAAGAGAGGACTCAATTGCAGAAGGCATGGCGTTTCAGGAGGCACAAGAAAAGCTGACTCGAAAATTGTGCAGCAGCAAGTCCTTCTCCCTGCCTCCGCGTCCAACATATGCAACATGAAGCCTGCTGATTTGAATCAACTGATTGCATTTGGGGAGTCGTGGTCAAGAAGGCTGGTCCTTCTTGCAAAGAGCAACCCTGAAATCACCGCAAAAGGCTCTCATATCAGCATGTATCAATACATGTCCCCGTCCCTCCGCAAATTCCTCCGCGCCTTCCACGCTCAGCGGCGGGATCTTTGGCACATCCAATGGTGCGCGGATCGGCCCCGCAGCCGTGGCGATCTGAGCCGGGTCAGCGAGGTTCATGGGACCCAGGCAATGGTCAAGAATCCTGATAGCAAACAGCACCTGACATCCCATGAGATGACTGTACCGACTGCCCATCAGCTCTTAAGAGCTGCAAGTGCAGAGATATCCCTGCCAAAGGATGCGTGGGCCAAATAGTGAAGTCATCCGGCCCCTCACTGCGTGTGATATGTTTCACCGATGGTCCTGCTTGGCGCTCTTTCAATTCTGCACAAAGGGCCCACAATCTCAGCAATCTTCAGAATCTTCAGGCAAATATCCGGGTGTGAACAGGAGCATCGCCAAAAGAAACTTGTGAGATCGTGTAACCCACGCCAGTTGGGACCCCGTTTGGCTCCCTTCAAAAGGGCAAATAAATTCGCATAGCATCCCAACGATGGACTCCAAGGAGCGTTCTGAATGCTCTTCATGGAAATGGGCGGCTTGAAGCCCGGCTTGGCCACCGTGGCATCTACGTCCAGCAGCGTGTGCCCAGAAAAGGTCTCCTTGGCGACCAGGTGCACGGAAAGACACCAGCAACATGCTGGGGCAGTCTGGCAGCAGCACCTATAAGCTCACAATGGCATGCGAACAAAAGGCCAGCACTTTACATATACAACCCTAAGACCTAACTTTATGCACATGTATATGTAAAAAATCAGACATGCACATCTGACAGCACCAGCGTCTAGATGTACTCCACTGTCCTCGGCTGCGAATACAACAAGCTGGACAACGTGAAGGTCGTGCCCCTCTTTTTTCCCCTTCTTGGTGCAAGTTTGCCTGTGCTGCAGCACCCCCAGTGTCACAATGCAAAGCAGACTCGTCCAACCAATAACGCCAGCTTAGTCTGAAGGAGCCATCACGGGTTGCTTCAAGATGGCCATCGCAGTCTTGTACATGGACTGGTTTGCAACAGCTGCTGGTAAGTTTGTCATCACAATACATCGGGCTCAATCTCATTTGTAAGAATGCACCAATTGTCAAACCAGCGCCCTTTGAGCATAACGCATCGGCCTCCTCACGAAGAAAGCGCATGTTAGAAATTTGACCCCCCTTGTTGCATCGTTCGGCTGTTGAGTGAAATCCCTGGCTGTTGCCAAAGTGGTCTTCATTCTGCGTTTGGATACCTTCGGCCTTGAAGGCCCCTCGCCCCCTGCAGGTTAAAATGAAACCCAACGAAATGAGGCGCCCCGAAGACGGATCCCCCACAGCGAATGGATTTTGATTCTATGGCTTGTGCCCGCCGCGAATCAAATGGTTGCTTCTGGTCCGTAACCAGTGAACCTTAAAGTAAAGCTCGAGACATCCCAGTCAATCTGCAGAGTACCCTTGCGGGAGAGCGGCCTTGGCCAACTGTGCCACCCTGGCGTCCCGTAGTCGCGCGTAGGGCTCCGTATCCTTCTCAAAGAAGAGATGCGTCAGGCGCCCACATGGACCCTGCGGCCGGTTCTTGCGTCCCATGGTGCTGTCAACACCGAATTTTGGGAGGAATGCAGGCTGATATCTACATGTAAAAAAATACGTATATGTCTGAATTTATTCGTGCATTTACGTGTATTTAAGCTCAAAGGCAATATATTCCCCTTTTGCAAGTAAGTGATGGATTAAGACAAGCTCCATACCTCCAACAGCCCACATTCATGGATTCTGATCCTTACGAGGCTGTTTTGTGGATCCGTAGGATAACCATACTCTGGCTGAGTTGATGCTGAGTTGAGTTTCCCTTAAGCCAACATGATCTGTGAATCAAATAAACTTAACTCAGTTGATACTTAAGACAAGCCTGCATTTTTTCGCACAAGTGCAACAGGCGATCATTCAATCACACATGCCTCGAGTCACGAGCTCAAATGTCTTTTTTGCAAACATTGAGCCATTACCCTGCAGCCGCCAGGCAAACAAAGATCCGAGAAGGGCCAACTAAGATCAAAACGGGCACCAGCTATCCAAGCAAGCAGATGTCAGGGCGAAGCAATAGTTCGCACACTCCACAGCAAAGCACTGGGAAGTGCACGCCAACAAGATTGCTGCTTAAAACTGGCAGGTCACAAGGTCAGTTGGCCAATTGGGTAAGGCCCCGGCACCAAAAAAAAACGTCTGGGGTTTTGCGCATTGCACTCTGGATGTAATACCACCCACAATAGCCCGAAACAACCAAATGTTGTCTACAACTGACACCGAATGCAGAACAAACTCAGTGGGTGTAATCCTAGGGTGCAATACAAAAACCCTTCGGGTTGTGGAAAAAAAACAGCCCAACGCCTTGCCACTAAAGAGCTCCGCGAAGACCTCTTCTGGCTGGCCTGCGCACTGCTTGCAAATGCTTGCAGCCCTACCCTCTTGGATAAACTGCCAGCCACGCCCAGAACCTGCTGGCAGGTTGACCCATCTGGAACCTTGACACACGTGGGCCACACAATTGGAAAACCAAAAGGTGAAAAGGTCTTCTTTGCACGGCTGATCATGCCACAAGGAAGCAATAGAAGCTTGAGCGAAAAACGGTTGCTCCCATTGGCAACTTGCGTGCTGATGCTCGCTTCAAACCTCTGGTCTGACATACGTCCACCACCTCCCTGAGCATTCATGGGGGACTAAGCCAATGCACAGCCAATGGCAACTCAAAGCAAACATCGATGTCGCCGATATGCTAATTGTGCACAAATTGCTGTTTGCAGCTTGCAAAAACAGACCGTAACAATACAGCAATCCAGGCGCCGGTGGACCTTCGCAGTGGGTATGTCACTAAGTCCCAGTGAAGCCCGGGCCTTGGAACACCAGCAGTCGACTCTTCCGGGCTCGCAACTGCTCGTCCAAATCCTGACAGATTGGCCACTGGGACTTGGGAGCGGAGGTTGGGTAGTTTTGCCTTTTGATCTCAGACTTAAAGTTCATGGACCATCTGCCCATTGCAAGAAGTGCGGACTCCTCTTTACCACTGTCCATGGTGCCCCTCCATCCAGCTTTCGACACTGTCAGTCCTTGAGACTCTCAAGCAAGAAGTTGAACCTCACCAGGACTCACAAAGAGCTGCAGGGAGCTGGACTATAAGCGCGCTCGCCACGGATAATGTTTCATCTTGCTTGGCTGAAGGCACCAAGCAATGGCCGAGTGAGGGCGGACCTTTTTTGAATGCGCCATGCTGCAGCTGCTGTTCGATGTACAGCCGGGCCTGTTGACTCCTACCTTGCTCTTGTCAAAGTGCGGATCCAAAATGAAGAAGGGCACCACATCTTTTGCGGTCGCCACCGCCTGAGCAGCTCAGCTCGGAAAAGCCCAGGATCATCGAACGTGATCGATGATCATGTCACCCTTTGAAGTATGGGTGCCCATCTGCCGATTTCATGGGAACCACTGTTTGTCAAAGATCCAAAGGGTCAACCACCCGAGGGGCTTAGCTGGAGATGCTCTGAGCTTCATGGCCTATGGCGTGAGTTGAAAGCAAGGCCGCCTACATTTACGCCGCTATGCATTTGCCCTCGACTAGAGCAGTACCCCCGCCTTCACGAGAGCTTCATTGTCGTGAAGCCGCAAACATTTTCGGAACCACACGCCCGCCGTGGCCATTGCAAGGAATGAAAGAACTTGTGGACGCTCGGAAGACTGCCTGTGGCCTTCTGCGCGAGCATCTCCTTTGCTAACAATTTCGTGGACAGCTGTCTGTCAACACCCATGCCTTTCGATATGATTTCGGTTCAGCTTGCTTGCTGCGCGGAGGCCAACAAACATGCCCATGACAAAGCAATGCAGTCAAGAAGCTTGCAAAAGGCCACCCACAAGCGACGCAAACCCCCCGCTTCGCGACACGAACATAAATGGTACGTTGTCTTTCCAGGCTTGAATCTTGGTGGGGCCATTTGGCAGATTGTGCTTGGTCCAGGTGGACTTGCATCAATGGTGACAGGGGGCACTATCCCAGCATTACAAGCAAACGGCATGACACACATGCTCAAACCAAGTAGTCCTTAGATGGTTTTACTCCCTTGAGGTTTATGTTTGCCCCTTTCCTTGCTTCGCCGAACAACATACCATGTGTAACACCAAAGGGGCCAACGCTTGAGCAGGAAGGTATCCTGTCCCCTGTGAGTTCAGGCAGCCCTTCAAGTGTTCTGTCTTTGGGTCATGGGAAACCTCTTGCTCCCTCCCCTTGATGCAGAATGTACCCCAGATAAACTCAAGGTTCAATGTTTGCGGCACTACCAATTACGCGTAACAATGCAGGCGCTTTCTGCTGGAAGCAGCATTTTGCTGCTGTCTCTTTCATGCAGTTTCTGCATGCTGGAGAGCCATGGCTCTTGGAGACCGCTCCCAACGAAAACTGCTCTTGTAAGGCAGCTTTAGCCACGAGCAAACTACATGCAGGTCTCTCGAACGCGGTCCACCACTGTGGCCTTGCTCTGCTGGCCTGTGGTTCTGTGGTCGTGGCTGGACGTCATGACTGAACCGGCCAAACGGACCTGCATGACCGAACTAAACTGGCTGATGCAACCGGCCGTTTTTCCATGATGTCCTCGTGATTTCAAGTGCCTTGCACCCTTCCGGAGTCAATTCTTATGGCCTTTGCAGCCAAGCCCTTAGCACTAGCCAGTGACTGTAGCCTCTCACCTCAAGGTGCTGAGCGCCCTGTCAATCTCGGTGTCAAAGCGAGAGTTCACCGACACCAAGCGTTCGAACTGCAGCTTTCCTCAGCTGAAAACAACACGTTTGATTTCGGTGGCTGTGACTTGTTGGTACGGATTTGCTCGCAAGGGGCGGTACCGGGGCGCAGTGAGCTGTTAGCCCCTGTTTGGGGCTGCATGAAAAGCCTGAAGAATGAACTCCCTTACACAATGTCACTTGTTAACAAATGTAAACTTGCGGCCCTGGAACAACATCTAAAACTAGCTGTTCGTGAGAAAACGGAGGGCACCAACAAGGGTGGGGGGCTGTCAAAGTCTGCCAACACACAGTGTGCCCAGCACAAACTAGCTATCCACATGCACACCAGTGTGTTTGTCTTGCTTTCGTAGCTGCCCAGCACCCAAATTCATCTCACGGGGTGGCAATAACATGTTTACGAATGCTGGAACGACATGTCCAAACCTTTTCGGGGCCTGCTTTCAAGGGACACTAGAGGACAGTCCATTTTGGATCTTTTGCGCGGTGCCTTCCCCAACAGCAAAGATCCCTATGAAAAGCTGTTCAACGGCCTGAGCATTGCCTCCCAAGGCGCGGAGGCCCTCTCCGGACACCACCATGGTAGGCCACAGCACGATCTCCTCCAATGAGCCGCAACTCAGCAAATTTAACCAAGGTTTCTTCCTGGGCGCAACACCTTTCACGTGGGTAAGCAAAGGGGATGGTCCCAAAATGGTGCTGTTGCGCCATCTAGTTTCACCCAACTGTGACCAAACTGCTGGCCCAGAACTGGGAATACAACTGGCAAACCACGCAGGAGCCTCGAATTGAACACAGCAACCATCAGGTGATGTTTGAAACACCGAGAATTACACCAGCATAGACCCCAGATAGCACGTACAAACCATGACGCAGCACCATAACGGTTCCCAAGGCATCATGATGATGTTGTCAATATCGTCATGATGATGTTGACATCACCATGATGATACCGCAGCGACTCATGCATAGTGCGCTAAATAGACGCGCGGGCAACGTCCTCATGAGTTCAGCAGCATAATGATGATGTTGATAGTCTCATGCTGATACACCAGCCACGAACGATCCCGCGCTACATATCTATCAAAACAATTCAGAGACCGCGGCGTCATGATGATACGAACAGCATCATGATGATGCGGACATCATCCTGATGACGCGGACAGCACCACCATGATGCGGACAGCATCATGGTGATGCGAACAGCATCATGGTGATGGCAATGGCAGCATCATGATGATATCATCCTGCTGTTGACAGCATCATGCATAACCCAGCATCTCAGTGATTCCAGCAGCATCATGACGTGGTTGCCAACATCATGCTGATACACCAGCCACAAACCACTACACGCGACAGAATCGGCGCACAGCACCATGATGCTCCGGACAGCTACCCCGAACAGCACCCGCCCTAGCACCCTGCCATCCATAGGCGCCCGCACCGACAAAAAACTGCAGCCCCGGCAGCGCCCAAACACAGCACTGTCACCAGCGCCTCAACCGAACAGCACCCTCACCTGCGCCAGTACCCCAAAGCGCATGCCCTAGCTCCCAGCCGTCGATCTTGCAAAACAACCCTCTTCTTCACTAAACCTTAGAACCGCTATAGTTTTCTCTGAGGGGACATTTGTGGAGCGGAAAAGTGCACCACACGGATCATTTGCGCGCGCGGTCTAAGGGTGGACTTGAGTACTGCTGGCACAAGCTGTGAGGGCTCGAACCCCGGAGGTGCTAATCCCGGAGGTGCACGTTTTTAGATCCCGAAAACACCGTTTGCCCCGTGATTGAAACTTTTCCCCGGAAGCGGGCGATGCTAGCGGAGTCCAGCGGAGTTCTAGCGGAATTCTAGCGGGCCGTAGTCTTCGTAGTCTTCCAGTCTTCGCGTAGTGTTCCCATAGTCTTCCCCTCCTGCCGAATTTGCACGGAATTCTCACGGAATTCTAGCGGAATTCTGGCGGGCCGTAGTCTTCGTAGTCTTCCCATAGTCTTCCCGTAGTCTTCTCATAGTCTTCCCCCTGCCGAATTTGGACGGAATTCTCACGGAATTCTAGCGGGCCGTAGTCTTCCCGTAGTCTTCCCCTCATGCCGAATTTGGAATTCTCACGGAATTCTAGCGGGCCGTAGTCTTCTCGTAGTCTTCCCGTAGTCTTCCCATAGTCTTCCCCTCCTGCCGAATTTGGACGGAATTCTCACGGAATTCTAGCGGGCCGTAGTCTTCTCGTAGTCTTCCCGTAGTCTTCCCATAGTCTTACCCCTCCTGCCGAATTTGGACGGAATTCTCACGGAATTCTAGCGGGCCGTAGTCTTCTCGTAGTCTTCCCGTAGTCTTTCCATAGTCTTCCCCTCCTGCCGAATTTGGACGGAATTCTCACGGAATTCTAGCGGGCCGTAGTCTTCTCGTAGTCTTCCCGTAGTCTTCTTGTAAGCTTCCCATAGTCTTCCCCTCCTGCCGAATTTGGATGGAATTCTCACGGAATTCTGGCGGAATTCTTGCAGGCCTAGTCTTCTTGCAGTCTTCCCCCGTAGTCTTCCCGTAGTCTTCCCAAAGTCTTCCATCCTGCCGAATTTGTATGGAATTCTCACGGAATTCTAGCGGGCCGTAGTCTTCTCGTAGTCTTCCCGTAGGACGGAATTCTCACGGAATTCTAGCGGAATTCTAGCGGGCCGTAGTCTTCTCGTAGTCTTCCCGTAGTCTTCTTGTAAGCTTCCCATAGTCTTCCCCTCCTGCCGAAGTTGGACGGAATTCTCACGGAATTCTAGCGGGCCGTAGTCTTCTCGTAGTCTTCCCGTAGGACGGAGTTCTTACGGAATTCTAGCGGGCCGTAGTCTTCTCGTAGTGCTGTTTTGCGAGATTGACGGCTGGGTGCTAGGTGCTGTTTTGCGAGCTTGACGGCCAGGTGCCAGGGGGCATGTAGTTTGGGGTGCTAGTGGAGGTGCTGGTTTGCGATATTGACGGCTGGGTGCTAGGCGGCGTGCGTTGGGGTGCTGGTGGAGGTGCTGTTTGGCGAGCTTGACGGCCGGGTGCTAGGAGGCATGCAGTTTGCTCGCAAAACAGCAAGCACCCGCCAAACAGCACCTCCACTAGCACCCCAAACTGCATTCCCCGTAGCACCCAGAAAGAGAGAGAGAGAGAGAGAGAGAGAGAGAGAGAGAGAGAGAGAGAGAGAGAGAGAGAGAGAGAGAGAGAGAGAGAGAGAGAGAGAGAGAGAGAGGGAGAGAAACAGCTTCTGGTGCACCAGAGGCACAAACCGGGCAGCCTCCCCCCAGCGGTTGCCCGCCAGGGATCAGGCCCGGGACTGGCTCCGCAAGCGTCATTGCCAGCCAAACAGCTAGAAAAAAACAAGGGGGGGAAGGGGAGGCCGGTGCGTTACTGAAAATCGCCCCCGAAAGGGGGGCCGGGTGCGTTACCGAAAATCGCCCCGAAAGAGGGGCCGGGCGCAGGCCCCCGCTCTGAAGGAACGGCCACATGCCCGGATGTTGCGCCCGGAAAGCATCCACAAGCTCTTGTCGCAGAGCACTAAGGCATCCTCCCGGCGTGTCCAGGAAGGTCCTGCTCCCTTGCCTCCCAAGTTGCCTCCCAAGTTGGGTCCTTTGCCACCCAGGCGTGAGCCTGCACCACCCCATCCGGGCCGAGCCTCCTGCGTCCAGATTCTGAGCCTGCACCACCCGGGCCGAAGACCGCACCATCCAGGCCTGACAAGCCCGAGTCTCCGCGGCACCTGCCCGACTGCGTCCAGACCCAGTCCGAAGCCCGCACTCACGCCACGAATAAAAGAATGCGAGGAGGTCAACTGCCTGAATTGTCGAATGCAGATGGTGGTTAGCTCTGCCGCTGCCTGCACCGCTGCTTGGCCAACAGAGGAGAGAACAGAAAAGAAGAAAAAAGGAAGAAAGGAGAGAAGGGAGAGAGGCACTGTCGCTCCGAGGGCCAACAGGCCAGGTGCTCATCGGACCGAAACAGAAGAGAGGCCCCGTAGCACCCAGCACCCCAAGCTACATGCCCCTAGCGCCCGGCCGTCAAACTCGCGGCCGTCAATCTTGCAAAGCGGCACTTCTACCAGCACCCCAAACTGCGTGTTTTTGGCACCCGGCCGTCAATCTCGCAAAACAGCACCTCCACCAACACCCCAAACTGCATGCGCCCTGGCACCCAGCCCTCAATTTCCCAAATCACTTTTCCTTTTTTATTAGAAGTTAGAACCCCTATAGCCTTCAGCTATCTGGGACAAAAGAAGCACAATGAGTGCTGCAAATTCTTGCAGGCCCTCACCAACTACACTCGGCGTTCCTGATTCCTTGCGCGTCCAAAATTAGTCGGCAAAAGCCGATACAACAAGTTATGGTTGCTATACTGGTAAGTTAGGGAGCCTAATGTGCAATCATCATCCGTACTTGGAAGAAACCAACTAGCATGCCCGATTGCAGCACCTTTGTATCTGTATGGCTCATGCTTACCTTGCAACTCAAATGATATTTGACTACGCTGCAAACCTTCTGCCGTTTTCACTCCTCGTTCTTGCAGGCGGAGATGGAGAAGTTGGCATCCCGCCGCTGCCACAGCGAGTTTGCGCCTTGAGGCGGGCCCGTGAACCCCTCCGTCTCGCTGTCCGAGCCCGAGGGGTCGTCGTCACCTGGGCCCAAACGGGAAGCTAATCTTCTTCACGATACGCTCAGCACTGTCCAGGCACACTCAAAAGCACTCGCACAGCGATGCTTCGACCTGCTCAAGCACACACCCGCTCAAGCGCACCCGCTCGGCAAGATTTTCGCGCTCAAGAGCACTCGGTCAGCACTGCACCCGTAAGCGCACTCGCTCAGCGACACCAGTTTACTTAGCGCATGGAACTGCGTGCAGAAGTGCGCAAACGCAGGAGGTTTCCACGCGGGATTTCATGATCAAATGATTGCCAGGTGGACTTAAGGTCTCTATGGGCTTGGGTGGCAGCATGCGCACGGAAAGTAGACGATTTTGAACTACTTCGCTGAAGATATCCTCCTGGGGGCCGGTCGCACACACAAACACGAAACAGGGGTTCTGTGAGCCCTATACCTAATAGTTTTGCAACATCTTCATAGCCAAATATACCGGCCAAACATATTTCTGCTTGGGTGGTATTGAAAGTCACCTCTGTTGCTAATTGTATTTGGGTGTTTGGTGGGATGAGGTTGGAAGGGGACTTAAAAGGATTAATGCCTGGTGGCACCCTCCTGACGAATCGCAGGGCTGTTTTCATAGAGGAATCTAGGGGTGTTTCATTTTTGGAAATCAATCAGGGGCCATCTAAGCTCTCAATAATTCATTTGGCACTGGATGAGTCCCACGTAGGAATTTTCAGGCTCATGGATTTCATGTCACAAAACTAATTGGACCCCGCTGAGCACGTCATTTCTGAAATCAATAGGCAAGCATGGCAAGTGCTTTCACAAACAACTGCATGTGTGTGCAAGCAACCAAACGGCACCACAAAAGCAAGCGATAACTCCTTTATCCAAGCATTGCGTTGGTGCCGGGGACTCATCTTCCCCTGTCAGAGACTTCAGGCTGGGTGGGCCAATGGCCACCCATCCGGATTCAAATCATGAAGAAAAAGGTGTGCAGACGGGGCCGGAGGCACCCAGGCCTCAGGGGGTCTGCCACCAAGGGGAAGTGAGTCGCCCACCGGCTCCGGTCACGGGAGCTTGGGTGGGCCACAGAACAAACTCCATCAAGATAGCCGCGGTCTTGGACCCGAGGTGAGCATTGCCATGACGTCGCTGCCCACCGGGAGTCTCACCCGCGAGGCCAAAGGCTCCTAGTGAGTGAGGATCATTGCAAAGGAAGAGAGTGCCCAGCATTTCCAGGCCGCAATTCGCCGCTTGGGGTCCCCATCCTTGAAGGCCCAAGGGTATTCCTCTGCTCATGGAACCAGCACACCTCCGCCTTCACCGGCTCCACCTTGTTGGAGCACCAGCCTCCCACAAATGCCACTTCCTGGTCCAAGGCGCCTGCGTCACTACAGCCCCACCAAGAAGATTTTGGCAGGTACGGGGAGTACCGAAGGGCGTGTTGAAGAGGTGGTGGCCATCTTCCATGCCCTCCTCCCGGAAAGTGAAGTGGTCTGCCGATGGGTAGTTGCCCGAAGATTGTGGCAGGATGCCCAGGCAGATCAGGGACTCCCCTCCAAAGCTTGGGGGAACTGGCAGGGTGTCCAGGAAGAAGGGGTTTGTAGGGCATTCTTCGCCGTGAGGACGCAAATCTTGGCTCCCTATCAGTGCTGCTTTTGACAGCGGCCTGGTCCAGGGAGCCAGGCCGCGAAAGGATGGCTTTCCACCCCCGTCCCTGAGAGGATCGTGGGTCGATCCGAGAGCTCGGCACACTGCTGGTGCAGGGGGAAACGCCCTGCCCTGGGCTTGCTTTCCTGCGTCCGGTGTGTGTGTGTGTGTGGGCTCGTGGGCCTCTTAAGCCCGAGGCCACGGCCGGCTGCGTGCCTAGGGTCCTTCCCGCTAAGGCCTGTTGCCCCGCCTTCCTCCTCACTGCCTGCCGTTCGTTGGTCGCCTGGTTGGGGTTGGATTCTCCCGCGCAACGCCTCCAGGGCCGCTCCCGCCCTGTAGACAATCGCTGCTGCCAGCCCCTGCATCTGCTGGGCTTGCCACACCTTGGGGGCCTTGGTCTTCCCTGCCCTTGGCCGGTGCCCGGCTGATGTGCTCAGCTCCAAAAGAGGAAGTCCCCTTGATGGTCTTGAGGGCCTCGGAGAGATTGGTATCTCGTGCATCTTCCGCCATGCTTTCCGTTCTGCGAAGAGCAGCGTGGTGTCACTTGGAGGAGGCTTCCGGCCTGCTATGTCTTCTCCATAAAACCAGGCATACCAGTCATCCAGATCTTCCTGGATGACCTTCAGGTTGCCAAGCTGGGGCTGTGCACATCAGCAGCGTGGTCCTGAATGTGACTCACCTCCTCCTCCTCGTCCTCCCTGTCCCAGCCATCCCCATTATTCGGGAGGGCACTTGTAGCCCAGCTCGCCCTTTGCGATCAGTCTGAGCCGACCTGTGGAACCGTCAGCTTGCTGAGGTACATTTGGCGTAGCATGAGGACACTGTCGTTGTCTGTGGGCAAGTCATTCAGGCCCTACAGTGTCTGCTCCGGCCGCCTGGCTCCTGCTGAAACCAGGCAACCACGGGGCCGGAGGGAGTGGTTCTGCATCCAAGGCTGGTTCGCATCTGGGGCCCCCTGGACCAAGCCCAAAGCCTCCGACAGGGCCTGGCTTACGTCAGCGCTCTTACCCTCCAGGCACTGGTCTTGCAACTTCGACCGGAACCTCTCCAAGTTGAAATCGCTTCTTGGCTGCCTGGTTCCTGGCAATGAGTGCATCCCCTCCTTTATCGGCGCCTGCGACGCCTGCGAAGTAAAACAGCTTGAAACCCTGCGCCTCCACCTCCTGGAGGGATCTGCGCGCCTTAACGCGGACCTCCTGGTTCTCGCAAATGTTCATCACCTCGTCATCCGCTCCCACCGTCAGGATCTCCTGACGGATGTCCACCCGGAGGTCCAGCGAGACCATCGTCAATCGAGTCCAGCCCTCCCCAGGACTGTGCCATCCTGCGATCCTGCTGTGCCGGGGTACCGCCAGGGCCGTTCCGCACAGCCTGCACATCCGCTCGTAGCCTCCTGACCGGCATCCAGCTGGCGCAGGCGCCGAAGCCCGCCTTGTTCTGCTGGTGTTGGGAGCCATACCTCCTCCTGCCGTAGCTGGATCTTCATCGGGATGTACGCCTCCAAGATGCGCATCACCCTTCCCAATGAACTTATAGGCGGTGCCAAGGAGCGGGAAGGCATCGGGAGCTTGTAGTAGCCCGGCTTGTCTTCCACCGGCCGCAGGGAGATGGCCTTGGTCTCGTGGGCCGGGCCTGCCTGAGAGGCCGCCACAAAGGCTTTGAGCTTCTTCGTGAGTGGAGCTTCCACTTCCATCGGCATAGCAGCTCCTGCCGGGGGGGCCTGGTAGCCCAGGCCCATGGCACTCCCGTCGGCGGGGTCGGGGTCGGCGAGGCCATGCATCACGTCGGCTGCCGTGCCACCGAGGGTTCCTCCAACACCAAGCCCGCAGCCACTGCCGCCTCCGGGTGCGTTCCTCCTGCGCTTCCTGGGTCGCCCTCGCCACGTCCTCCTCCGTGAGCTGTTGCTCTTCCACCAACTCAAAGGAAGACACCGTCGTTGCCGAAAACGCCATGGCAAATGAGGGGGGAGGGATTAGAAAGTTGTTCAAGACAGAAGGGTTCAATGAACCCACAGCAATTCTTGAGCCAACATGGCACATGCCATTATGGTCAAGCATTGCACACACAATTCATGTTTCCACATGTTCCAACATTAAACAATGTTCACCAACTACCCTTTTGCACCTGTTTGCCCTGTTCAGCGACTTAGGCGCCCTCCAATTTGTCTAGTCAATGGCGCTGTGCGCCTGTGACTGCTGCTATTCTGCGATATCCTGTGGGGGTATGAAGAAGGCCCATGAGCCAGGAATTTCACAGGGCTTTCGCACGCCTCTTGGTGTACGGCCCTTGCGGATCCAACGAGGGAGCCGATTCTCCAGCAGCGCCAACGTCCAAAGCATCTTGAACTTCCTTAGCACCAGCATACGTCCGCATGTGCGGCTCAAGAAGACAACGCTAATAGGCTAAGCTGCCAGAGTAGGAGTCAGGCCTTTGCCATAGGGCAATCAACTCGAAACACCTCAAAATGGCCACATCACGCGCCTCACCCGAAAACGGGCTCTAACAGCCCCTGATTTACATTCTGCCATGCTTTCCTTGCAAACCCACTGCTCCCCTCCGTCCCGTGCCTTTCTTACTTGCACTTTTGCAGCCACCCCATCTTGCAGGCCTGGGTGCGAGGGGCTGGTCTGCTGCGCGTTGTTGCCATAGGTGTTCAGGAAGCAGAAGGTAACCCGACAAAGGCACTCTACGAACCCACTGAAGGACAGCCACTCGTCCCCATGACGCGCCATACTGGCGTTCAGGTGTTTGGTCACCGAGTATTGCTGCACAAAGTCCGGGTAGAAGCGCAGCTCCTCGGCAGGATAATTGTCATGCTGAACATGCCGCATGCCCCTGCGAGGCAACAAACGGCAAGGCGCCTCAAAGGAGACATAAGTTCAAGCTGCGGGGGTATCTGGGCGGGTGTGCTACTTGTTGTTTTATGGATCTTTAGTCTTTGTGGTTCAAGCGCAGTTCCTGAACACTGCTTCATGCAACAGGACTTCACAGGAGGCTTGTGAATATCTTTGAAACAAAACCAGGTTGGGCAACGCTCACTTGCTGATAGATCGGATAGTGTGGTCTTGAGAAGTGAATGCACGGACTTGCACGAGGCCACACACTACATGTCCCGGCGGCATAAAGCTGCACGTCCCCTTCACAACTTTGGAATTATAACTTAAATTATAACTTCTACTTCCCCCCTTTTTCACCGGACCAGATTCGAACCCAGGCCTTGAGCATATAGGTGAACTTCTCCGCGCTCAAATGGGGCTCCTGGGCACAGAGTTCCTCCGGCGGCTCTTCCGCATAGCTGTGGAACAAGACCTGACAGGCGGAATGATCACTACGTAGGAGCAAAGGCCAAAGGCTTCGAGCGTTTGTGTTGGGGCCATGCCATGCAATAATTCCAGCTCAGGCTGCACCATGCCCACGACATCTTCAGACGTCTAAGACAGGTGTCGCATCTGTGATAAAACCGCCTTCTCACTTCGGGGCACTGATGGAAGATCACGTTACCCTGAGACCAAACGAGTGCAACAGACTTCCCCCCAACACAAGGCTGCAAAAAATGCTGGGCTGTAAGATGGTGAATGTGGCTGCGGCTTTGCCGCTCAGGTGCTTCGCACATGGCTTTTGTTAAAGCCGTGGTCAAACTCGCCATGCTTGAGGGAATCCGCCGAGAGGGGTTCACAAAGGTCGTTTCACATTAGGCAAGCAGGTTCTGGAAAAAACTATGTTGGCCAGCGCTGGACCAATGCCTCTGCCCAAAACCGCGCCTCAAGCAAGCCCTTGTATTCATGCAGGAGCTGCAAGCATTCTGGCTCACAAATCTGCTGCTCGGCTAAATTGATCTGCCACACCATTGGCAACTTGCCATCGTCGTTCGTGAGATCCTCGTCATCCTGCACTGTGTAACTGAACTGACTCCGAACTCGATCTGCGCACCTCCGATGTCTGAGGCCATGGAACCCAAAACCAATATATAAGTAGAACCATGAGGCTCAGGGCTTGCGCTTTGACAAGGCATCCGATTTGAACACCAACCTGCGAACTCTGACCTTAGCAGTGGAAAAGAAGGCTGCGCAGATTTTTGGAGGGCTGACATTTCCCATGGCAAGATCGAGTCCGAGTCAGCACCCCCGCAAGAAAGTCCAAACAGGAATGAAAGCCCAAACAACGTGCAGTGTCCTCTCCCATGTTGGAGCCGCCCCCGCTGAAGAAGCTCAAAGCCCGCGAAGCACTGCGGGAAACTCCCCGGGACTGGCTTCTGGACAAGGACCTGCGTGTGTGGAGGTCGCTCCTTCCCAACACAAACCCCGGAGGCCAGCGGTTGGATGAAATAGGCGAACTAGCAATGAAGAGGTCCAAACTCTGGCACCATGGCCGACAAAAATCACGTAAAGCTCTGGCGCCAGCGTCACGGCCTCCAAACTACAAAAGGCGAAGAACACTACAATTGCGAAATTGCTTTTCGGCACCATCCAGAAGGACACAGCCGAACCACAATTTGCAAAAACCAAGCTTGCCCTGTGTTTCGAAATGCATTCCGTGCGCCAGAACGCTTGTTATGTTCAAGTTTTGAAGGGGTGGCTCTGGAGACGAATGTCAGAACTCCTGAATGTGTGTATGTAGTCGAACGGGTGCGCGCTTTCTCAGCGATTGCACGCGGCGACAGTAGGACATTCCCACACACAATCATCCCCTCCCCCTAGAACAACGCGGAAGGGGCACCCATAAACTTCTCAGTGGTGCATACAAGGGAAGTCATGCATGGAGGGGGTGCACCTTTTTCCTGTTTTGTGGAGGAACTATCACACCCACGGTGTGCAGCTCGCATTTTTCATCCCAGGGAAAAGTCAGGCGACCCAAGTCCAGGCGGGTGGTGGGAGTCTTGCATTTGCCTGGCATGAGTGCAATGGACACTGAGCAAAAGACTGACTAAGCGAATCCAACACTTTCTGGCATCAGTTTCTGAACTCTTTTTCAACTCAGTAAGGAACAGTTCAGAGCAATATGCCAACATCCATGGCCTCCAACATCCAGCGCTCGTCAGTTCCTAATGGACGTGTCATTTAAATGTGTTGCTCAGTCACTCTCATCTGTTCAATCCGCGCAAGCCAATCCCGAAGGTTCTTTCGGGCAACGCCATCTGCGTTGACCCGCCTCGACAAAGAGCGAGCCGTCCTGCTCTGACTCCGCTCTCTGCCTCAAGCTGCCCAGCACAACTGAATGCCCGTCGGATGCTGGCTTGCAACGGCCACCATGTTCAACACACTTCCAACCCTTTGCGTGTGCATGTCCATCGCTGATTTCCAGCACCGTTGCCTGATACAGCCGCTGCTCAACGTTCAATATCGCGATGGAAATCAGTCCGCCCAAGCCGACACTCCCACCCAACAGAGCGCAGTACATGAGGATGAAAGTAAGAAGTCTTAGTACCAACAACCTTTTCTCCGTGGAAGATTATTCTAAAAAAAGAGAGGAATTGTAGTATATCGCAAAGGAGAGCAACGTGAACATGTGCTACAACATGATATGTGTCATGCAATCCTAGATCCACAGCAGCATTTCTTAGACATATTTATGTTGACCCATCCACGGTAGACAGAAATAATAAGAGAAGAAAGAAGAAGGACAGAAGTAACTCTCAGGTGCAATGAAGTTGGTTTGGAGACATATGTGAAAAGCCAATTATTTTATGTACCAGCTACTGGAGATAGTAAGATATATAACTCCTGTAAGAAAGATCTTACGACACTTGGAAGACTTCCAAGGAAAGACATAGATGACATAGCAAAGATCAGATTGCTTCGAAAGAATACTCGCTGGAACATCCAATAGTTATTGTGGGCATGATCCCAAAATGCAGGAATTATTAAGGTGTACACTTCTGGATCTGCAAGCATCAACATACATTTTGATCAGGGAAAGAAACACAGCGAACCAGAAACCGGGACAAACCGGGACCCTTATTAACCCCAGTCCGGTAGGCGAGCGCAAACCCTGTTTCTATGATGGGCATTGAATCTTGAGCCAAATGGGCATTGCCATTCAGCATGTTCGTGCTATCAACGGGACCTCCAACATCACATGCATGCACACCCTTCTGGGGTACCTTTTTGGGGGTCAAGGGGTCGTGATTATTCAACTCCCCCCTCCCCGTGCTCACTAAGAGACTTGTATTTTACAGTCGCGCTTGAGCTGCGACCTATGTGATGCAAGGTCCTTTACCAGACCATAAGGAGGGCTTACCTATGATTTTTGCACTTTTGTTACTGTTTGGACATCTCAGGCTTTTCAGGCAAATTGGTTCTGATGCCTAAAAGCTTTAGTGCGTGGTCCCATTTTAAGGGCTGCAGTGCCTTCGTAAAGATATCGGCTGCCTGGAGATCGGTAGCTACATACTTGATTACTACGCCCGTGCCGGGTTCAAGTTGCTCAGCAAGTGCGGACAAGTTCACTTTGTGAGTGCGCTGTATGTGCCGCATTTTTGGGGAGTAACCTTTCTTGGCAACGAGGATAGTGGCTTGGCTATCTTCGTGTAGCACCAGCTCAACCGGGCGTCCAAGCAAACGCTCCCACAAGGTCAAAGAGGGAAGGCCCTCTTGATACAAGGAGAATGTGAGCGAAACGACCTCGGCTTCGGTGGTGGATCTCGACACCAACACTGATGTCTGTCGTTTGCTCAACCATGCCAACGGGAAATGGGTGTTCGGTCCTTTGAGGACCAAGAAGCCACCGGACGTGGACTTCGGGTGAAGATCTTGCGGGTTGTCCTTTATGACACCTACCAACCGGTAGTGAGTGGTCGAGTGGATATACGTGACAAGACGGGCGAGTTGCCCATCATGGTTGCAAGACCACTTCTGCACGGCGGTTGCTAGGTCACCTATGGGCTTGATGATGTCAGGACGCGCTAGTCGTCCCAGCCATAAGGCCTTCATGGGGGGTTTGCACGCGTTTGGGGCGGAAGTGATCCGTCTGGGCAGAATGGAGTAGTTACCTTCCAGAGCTTCTCGGGCTGAGTGCCGGTTATAGAACAAAACAGTTCTACGGTTTGACGGGCAGAGTCGTTCATGTCAAAGGCAACGGCACCCTTTACTGCGCTTACAGCTGCATTCAGATCATGCTCTTGAGACTCTGCGGGAGCGTCTATAAAGACATGATTACACCCGAGCACCCTAAAGATCGGCTCGGGAGGCTCTACATTTATCATTTTTGTAAGCTTTCCCCAAAAGGCTTCGTGTGCATCTGTGGGACCTGAGAGGGTCAAGTCATCGACATAAGTCGAGAGCATAAGGCCTACCCCTTTAAAGAAAAAGTTTCCAGGAAACTCTGGGATTTCTTCTCCTCCCAGCTGCTTAGGCAGTTTCTTAAGGTGTGCATCCCACAGACCTCCTGCGTCAGGGTGACCATATAGGGCACGAATCAACAAGACCACGGGTTTTACGAACTTATTCCTTTGGCCGCAGCTCAGGCGGGAGTTCAATCCACGTCTGGAACTGCGAGCTAAGGAGCGCCTGGACATAGGCTTTTACGGCGTCAGCGGTGGTAACCGTGTGTCCTGGGATACACCCATACGCCAGGCAGGCGTTCAGGCCTTGTACCGAGGTGGGGTTTGCCCCCAGCTCTTGGTACACGGCGGGTGCACCGGCTTCATCTTTTGCACAGTCTCCCCTGAACACGATGCGCCCCTTTACCTTCTGGAGGTGCTTCGCAAGTTCATAGAACTTGATACTGGCGATCGTCATGAGCTGACCAAAGTGCACCTTGATCCCGGACTGTCGCGCTTGAGCTGCGACCTCAGCCTTCTCCCGGACAGTTGAACCATCCCATACTCCGACATCTTGGAGTCCTGTCGCCTCCTGCTTGATTGCCTCTAACGCCTCAGGAGATGCAAGCATCTCGGCACGGGACAGGAGTTTAGTGACCATTGCATGCGCTTCTGTTTCGACAGCCTTGGCGGGCACGCCGATAGCGTTAGCAAGTAGACCTTGGACATCGAGGAGTTCCTCAACAATCTCTTTTGTCTTAGAGTCTGATTCGACGAGGAGGGTGAAGTCATCTGCTCCGGAAAGAGGAGATTCGTGCTTTAGGGATTGCTCCTTAACACGATGCTCCGTCTGCTGAGTGACCGGAACAACAGGCATTGCTTGAACCGGAGTCCTACACACTTTGGGATACAACGCTTTGGCGATCAAACCACACATTTGCTCAGGATAGAATGCAGTGCGGGCGGTTCGGCTCCCTGCCGCTGGAGTATGTTTTTCGGACTTTGAGCGCGGACACTGGCGATCAGCGAATGCTTCGGCAAGGGCCTTTGATGTAGTTTTTATGTGCCAAGGCTTCTTGATGGGTGAACCATTTTCATCCGTCAAACCAACAGCACAGCCATGAAACGAAACACCATGGAACACATCCTTGTGGCGTTCGAAAAACTCGGCAACGTCTGGTCTCTGCCAACCTTCGCAGTCACGCGGCCACTCGCAAGTGACTGATCCACCGGCCTTCAAAACATGCTCGGCGTGCAACGCAAACTTTGAAAACATCACTTTGGATTGCTTGACTGTTTCCCCTAACTTTTTCTTGAACGGCTCACCTAATCTGTGAAGGCTCAGCCTCTGCCAAGGTGATCCTGAGACACATGGAACGGCTGCCCACAAGTTGGGTTGGACACACTGCGAGATTTGGTACGCGAGCTGCTCGTCCGCAACGGCTGACTCTAAGTCAATGTACTCCTTTGCTAATCGGACATGTGGGATGTTGAGATCCTTGAACACATTACCCTGAGGAATTAGGTGAACAAGCAAATTCAAACATCGGGCCAACAGCATCACGCGCTAGGCGCTTGCGAGCACGCTTGTTGCCAACGGTAAGCGGAGGGCGTTCATCGCCCCCCTGAAGCTGGCAAGGGTTACCGAAAACGGATGGCTTCTCTTTCGTGGTCTCAGCTAGTGTTGTGCTGGAAGCGTTTGACACGGTGACGGCTGCTCCTGAGCTGACTGGGATGTTACCCTCGTGAGCACTGAGCCCCCCTGCTGCGCTTGAAGCTGCAGCCGATGCCCGGAATCACTATATAACCTAAAAATGGTTATGCCAGTCCAGAACGCAGGGAGTTCTCGATGTGCTGAGAATCTGCCTGCCCAACCATCCCTGATATCTTCCTTGCTACCATTTTGCTGGGACACAACTCGAGTGGTCCTACCGGGTGTGATTCTGCACACTGACACGGGACAATCACCGACATCCTTGGGAGTGAAAAGTTTAATCCTAGGCTGATGATGCACGCGGATTAACACGTTACCACTAGGCTTATAAACCTATTCATCCTTCTTGGTTGATGCGGGGACAGCGTCGGTATGCGGAACACTGGGCCGAGAAGAGGCGGGCTCTCCAAGCAAGGCACGGACGATCTCGGGGTCTCCCTCCTCAGGAGCCTCGATCTCTGGGGCTTCTGGGGTTTCTAGGGAGGCGGCCTTTGCAGCGCGTATAGCAGCTGCCTCATACTTGGTTTGTTGGCCTCCTCACTTGCGGCCTTTTTGGCCTTCGCTTCTTCCTTTTCACTTTCAACTAGCTCTGCAAACCTTTTGCGACATTCGTCAGTCTAGAACTCGCATGGCCGGTGCAGGCCTTGCATCCAGGAGTCTCCTTGAACTTTATATAATCCGTTCAATGGTGATGTACACACTTCGTGACTTAAAGCCTGACGGAGTTGACGGGGCAGGGATGCCTTTAGGAATGAAAGGAACATCCCTGATTGCATACTCGGGAACCTCGCCATCGCCTGTTCGCAGGGCTCGATCGGCAGCGGCCGCGATCGGGAAAACAGGATCGCCTTCCTCGACGAACAACTCAGGTTCGGGCACGTCATGGACAGTAACATTACCGTTGGTTCTGAAACTTTGGTAATCCATAATTTTTAGCACCCTTCGATATCGCATCCCTGGATCGATACGCCAACCCATGAACAAGCCTGGGGCCTTGTTAGGTTCTAGGGTTCTCTTTCCAGCTGACTTTAGGCGATACCAAACGAGTTGTCCGAAACAACAGCGGACGCCATCGAACTTCTCCTTGGTGAGTGCTTCCCATTGCGTCTTTGTCGGATCGAATGTGGACGGTCGGTCGAAAGACATCGAGAGGCATGCAAAGGGGTAGGAATGCGTGTGCAGAGAGTAGGGCAAACCCGATTGATGGTGTATGCTCCTG